GTTACACCAAATACACAAAATAATGATCTTTAAAAAAGCATCATATGACCCCTTTAAATAGTAGATCAGTAAGTTGGCTTTCTCAAACCAACTTAATTATTTAACAAAAGTTAAAGAGTTTAGTCAGATTACACAGACTGACTCACAACAAGAAATCTTTAATTTTTTTTGACCTAGGAAAAGTAAAAAAAAAAAAAATAGTAAAAATAAATTCAATGAATTCCATTATTCAGAGTAGTTTACTTGGGATATGTAACAAAAAGTGTTACAAAATTTGAGCCCACAACATACAGTTTGCTTTGTAACATTAATGAAGAAACTGAATAACACCATCTCTGTCATGATTGTTTGCATGTTGGTGTTTTGTCATTTAAATATCTCTTGGAGCTGCTCATTTTCCTTATATGCAAATATTCTGAACTAAAAGTTTTACATTGGCATACTAACCTACTGTGGAGATCAAAACTAGAAAACAATATATAAATACTTGATTTTTTTTTCTGAAATTTTAATCTTCATCACTCAAAATTTGAAGGAATATTAGCAGTGGGTACAATAGTAAAAATAAATTCAATGAATTCCATTATTCAGAGTAGTTTACTTGGGATATGTAACAAAAAGTGTTACAAAATTTGAGCCCACAACATACAGTTTGCTTTGTAACATTAATGAAGAAACTGAATAACACCATCTCTGTCATGATTGTTTGCATGTTGGTGTTTTGTCATTTAAATATCTCTTGGAGCTGCTCATTTTCCTTATATGCAAATATTCTGAACTAAAAGTTTTACATTGGCATACTAACCTACTGTGGAGATCAAAACTAGAAAACAATATTTAAATACTTGATTTTTTTTTCTGAAATTTTAATCTTCACTCAAAATTTGAAGGAATATTAGCAGTGGGTACAACACTGTTCTACTAACATGTTTGACAAAATAACCTAGGCATTTCAACAAATACCTTTATTTTGTGGAAAACACAGAGATCAAAATTACAGAACAACCAACTGTAGCATAAAAGAAGATTACAACTAAAATCTTGGTTCTGATAAACATTTGCGTTCACTCTGCCATGTAGCTGTATAGGAGGCCTAACTCCTGCTGCACAAAACATACCCAAAGCAAGACACTTCCTCCTCCACTTTTCACTGTCTTCTTTACTTGCTCTGGGTTCAGTCTTTCCCCAGTTCCCCATGCCAAACATAATGTTTCCCATCTGACCCAATTCAATTAAACTCGCTCTCATCACTAAAGTGAACTTTGGACCAGTTCCCCTCTGTCCACACAACATGCCCCTCAGCAAAGGTGAGCTTAGCCTTTTGATTCTTTCTGCTGATGAGAGGCTTGGTCACTGCAGAGTGTGCTTTCAGTCCAACTTCTCTTAAACGTGCCGAGACAGATCCATACCCTGTTCATCGCTGAACTGGTGAACAATTCCAGTTGCAGTGTTGAACCGATTCCCCATTGAGAGTCTCCGCATTATCCTGTTCTCTCGTGCGTTTGTCTTATGTGGACGACCAATCTTTTTGGGGGACTTGAATGAATTAGTGTCATTGTAAACCTGCAATATTCGAGAAATAACAGATTTGGAATGACCAGCTTCTCTTGCGATGACTGAAAGGGTCATCCCATTGGCCTTCATCTGGACAACCTCCTTTCACAGGGTTTTAGTCACCTTAGATCAGCCCACCATCTTGCAATTTCAATGAAAATTAGAGGAACGCTGCCAGTTAAATACAGTTTGTCAGATAATTAAGAAGATAACACCAATAACTGGGAGGTATGTTCTGTAATTGTGATCAGAGATAGTTTTTTCCCAAACCTGCTTAAATGTGGTGGACATTTTTCTTGTGTACCCACAGTTTTAAAATCATGTAATGAAATTTAAAATATAACACAGAACACTATGTTGAGCTTGTGCCAAGAAAGTAATCAGACCCCTTGATTTTTTTATCACGTGTTTGCAGCCTCATGATAAAAGTCTTTACATTATTTTCATAATCAATCAATATCATTCTACACTCCTTTCCCCTTAATTAGGTATGGAGTATAGACTTAAACAAACAAAAATATTAATTTAAAACATTTTAGCATTCGGCTGCATCGTAAGAAAATATGTTAAAAAAATTAAGGGGTCTGAATACTTTCTGAATGCATTTTATATTGTAGTTATATTGTACAAAGCAACTTTAATTGCATCGAGGGGTATACATTTGATCAGTTTATGCATTGGCTGGAATCAAACCCATGTTGTTACTATTGCTAGTGCCACACTGTACTGCTTGAGCTACAGGAACACTAGTTAAAATGTACTGACAATATTTTTGTGTTGCTAATGGACTCAACAGTCCCACACATGAACTCAGAATTGTAGACTTGGCTTTATTGCTAAATGCAAATAAAAACAGTGCATTTACAGTTTTGTATTACAATTTATAACTTTTAAATGAAACACTCAATGAAACATGCAATTTAAATAAATGCACAGCTTAGGGGAAAAAAGATAAGTTACCCATTACATGTCTTCTTATTTACTATGAATAGTACAAAGGAAATACTTAGCACTGTGCATCTGTATCGTAAATATAGTGAAACCTCTATAAAGTTCAAGATTGAAATGTTATTTTTGACCCCACTATTTTTTATATTACATACACAAAACAGTTTACACATTGTATTCTGCAGAAGAACGTAAATCACAGATTGAGAACAAAGTAGTATCCAAAATCACCCCCAATACCCTCATTCACTATTCCCAACATTAGTCCACTTCAGTGAGTAAATGAAAACAAGTAGTGAACTCAAACAGTGACGTTGCATCCGAATCTGTAGTATTTGGACATTTTATTTTGGGTTAGGGTTAACTTGAATTTGCAAACCTTCCAGTGTTATTCACTTCCAGTTATTTTACCCCTACAAAAACAGTCCGTTATGCTGCTTGATATTGCAGTCTGGTATTTTGATATAGTATTTTAATTCATTACCATAATCATAAACACACTGGTTGTAGTGCAAATAGGTGTACCGTTTACTGCACTTATTCTTCTAGTTATTTACCTATAGCGGCTAATGAATCGCATATTCAAAGAAAACAGCTAACTTCCACATTGCAAAATAAGGTGGATAAAGGGTATAGAGATGATTTCAGACACAAATAAATAATTTAAAAACCTTATTGAGAACAATGGTTTGTAGTCATAAATCTGTTCAACTCATCATGAGCCTGGTCATTTTGATTCCTTTTGTTTTTCAATAGTGAAGGTGTCCACAGTGGATAAAGACTTGGTATGAGCTGCTTTTTGTTTTTCTGGCCTTGCTGTCCGACACATCCACAGAAAGATAGAAAAGCCTGTCAACAATAAAGATGATTGACAAACTGTATTATTATATTATTAGAAAGCATTTATATTGTACAGCATTATGTCTTCAGGCATATTTTCCCTTTTTTTATTTTTTTACCTCCACTGTGGTTCTGTGACTTAAGAGTAAACCTACCTTGCATTGTGTTTGAAATGCAGAATATGTAGAGTATTGTGTAGCTGGTATATCCAGAGCTAAGAAAAACCAAACCCCATGATGTACCCAGCAGACACATGAGGCCCAGCACTGTGCTGGCATCCTTCACTGGGATTTTCTTATGCTTGTTGTCCACTTTCTTTAGCTTAAAGATCTGTCTGGACACTGTGATTAGAATTATTGTGTTGAACACGAATACGATGGTGAAGTAGGAAAGGTTCACGCCATACAGGATGAGAGGCTCTGTGATCCAGCAACTGTACAACATATAATAAACAATGCTGAAAGCTAAAGAAGAGCTAAAAGCAAGGTAAAAATGAAAAGGTTAAGTTATAATATGAGGACTCACACTGGATTTGTGACTTTCGAATTTGATAAGGTCACATTTCTGGTGCCATAGAATGGACGGGTGAGTTGCTGAACTGCTAGCAAACTTCCAACAAGAACAGCAGGGACTCCTGTCAAGAGGAAAAGATTACAGGATGAGCAAATCTACACTTTAGTCATCATTTCTTAATGCTTCTATTATAACATCATGTCTGGGATTTATTTCTTTGTAATACTTAACATGCGAACTGTCATTGTTTTCAAATTGGGTGATTTTCTGAGTTTCAAAAGAAATGATAAAGGAAAGTAATTTATTAATTTGTTACAAGCACGCATCAGAGTAATAAGGCAAGTTCGGACTTTTATTATGAAATCGAAATGTACATGTAAAATCATGCAACGTTAGTTTGCATGCGAAGAGTTCAAAAGATGACATTCTTTATGTGTTTTTTGTAACAAATAAAAATACTGAAATAAAAATAATATACTGCAATACTGCCCATACTGTTACTGAATATGATGTCTGCTTCATAAATACTGTGAATAGTATGGAAATACATGGTGTTCATTGCTCAAACCGTATATATCGTCCTTTGATCACTATTGGAGTCTGGACTTTTTGGAGGTCATCTAGTGGAAAAGTTTGGTACTACACCTAAACAAAATCTTACTGAAAGTTAATTAATTATCTGAGATATCACCCTCGAATTTGGAACGCACAAGTTTAAATATGTCTGATTTTATAGCAGTTTTCTATGGAAGATTATTTCTGCATTAAAAAAAAATATACAAAATGTAAATGTGACTTAGTTTGGTACTACACCTAAACAAAATCTTACTGAAAGTTAATTAATTATCTGAGATATCACCCTCGAATTTGGAACGCACAAGTTTAAATGTCTGATTTTATAGCAGTTTTCTATGGAAGATTATTTCTGCATTTAAAAAAAATATACAAAATGTAAATGTGACTGTTTAATCTCACAATTCTGACTTTTTTCTCAAAATTATGATTTTATATGTGAATGAATGAATGATGCATTTATATAGCGCTGTTATGTCAGCGCTATATAAATGATATGTCACAGTTGCAAGTCATAAACTTGTAATTGTGAGTTTACACCTTTCAATTCTGACATTTTTCCTCAGAACTCTGAGTTTTCATCTTGCAGTTCTGTTTTTTTGTTTCTGCTAATGAAATTGTCACAGTACACATGAAAGAAATAAAAATGAATGAAAATGACTGTAATCGTAGCTTTTTATCTCACAATTCTGACATTTTCACACAATCTCTCCTCAGTGCCCTCAGGAGATCAGTCTGTCAACCCTGCCACCTCCGGTGCTTCAGGGCACAGCAGTCTCCAGCGAGCGCATCTCTCAGTGTCCACCCGGAAACGTAGCAGTTCTGGGGGGTTCGTTACCTAGAAGGAGGTCTTTATAGTGCTCTGCTTCAGGGCACCGAGCTGGCCGCTGTAAGTACACCAGAGGCCAGTCTCGAGAGACTGGTTCCCTTAATAGGTCACCTGGCGGTGTGGGAGCCCCTGCCAGATGTGTCTCATTGGGTCCTGCCCCGAGCAGGCTCTGGTTCTGTCAGTCTGAGTCTTCCAAGGAGATGACGGGTCTGAGGACCGTTATTTTCAATTGGGGACTTCGGCCAAGAGAAAGTCCTGATGCCCATGGCTCAGGACTTCGGAGGGCAGGCCCCTCTGGGGAAGAATGGTGTACGCCTCATTATACGGTGCCCATCTCTCCTCAGTGCCCTCAGGAGATCGATCTGCCAACCCTGCCACCTACGGTGCTTCAGGGCGC